CTTACGAGTTGGACATGAAGTGGAACCATGTAGCACATGTGTTCGCAAATTACACCGACTTGGGCATGCGAATTGGGCAAGGAAGTGACCATCTTGCACATATACATTCTGGAGTGTGCAACCTGGTCTTGCGAGTGGGGAAGGAGTTGAACTGAGCCGCACAAGAACATGCAAGATGAAGTGCTAGATGGATGTGCGGCTGAGAAAGGACTTGACCATCTAGGAGTCTTGAGCTTCTTTTGGTGCGAGATGGGTGTGCGGGTCAGCCATGGACGTGACCTTGTCGCACACCAGCCACCAGACCCAACTGAGCCGGGTCAGTACCCAGTTTTTCCTGGGCTGACCCGGTCCAAGACCCTTAATATAAATAGTTTTTTGGGAGAAAAACCCTAAATGTTATCTTCTCTCTTAGTTTTCTCTCTTGTTTTCTTTCCTTTTCAGTGTAAAAGCGATTATGATCAAGAGATATCTAGCAGATTTAATCATCTTAAAACTGTTTCTTATCAATTTATCATCTCATCTTCTTATCTTTGCTCCTAATCATGTTTAACATCATCTCTTGCAAAAGATTAGGTGTGTTAGGCATGATTAGTGAGTAGTCTTCTTTTAAGCTTCTAGGTGTGTAGATTAGGGTGCTTTGATGTTTGATTTATGATGTTTAGGTTCTAGATTCTCATTTCCTTTCCTTAGTTAGCTGCTCTTAATGCTAGATCTCTCATTATAAGCTTGATCTAGAACTTATGCATTTCTCCGTTGGCGCCGTTGCCATATTGTGTGGGTATTGTTAGCATTAGTTTCTGATATAGTTTTTGAGATCAAGTTTCTTTTGTTTTACTGATCACCTTTCAAGTTCTGTCTTTGTTTTCAGGTTTATGATCAAAAGAAGCCAAGCAAGAAGACAAAGAGAAAGAATTGTTCACTTGGAAAGGTTAGGAATGGATCAGAAAGTTGGGAATGAGCATCAGGCTGAAGAAGCTGATCACGGTCAAAGAGCTGGTAATGGGATTGGAATTCAGGTTCAACAAGCTCCGGTCCATCAGGGACAAGCTCAGGGTAACCAGCACCAAGACCGACCTCAGGTTAATCCACCACAGCCCCACCCAAACCCACCAGTCTTTGTTGGTGAGAATGACCGAGCTTATGCACACCAGTATGGAGCAGGAATCCGGCCACCTCCTGTGCAGAACAACAACTTTGAAGTCAAAGCTTCTTTGATCAGTATGGTGCAGAATCAGAAGTTCCATGGCTTACCTATGGAGGATCCCTTGGAGCACCTAGATCAGTTTGACAGAGTTTGTGATCTCACAAAGATCAATGGGGTATCTGAAGACAGCTTCAAACTGAGATTGTTTCCATTCAGCCTTGGGGATAAGGCACACCAGTGGGAGAAGAACCTTCGAAGAGGATCAATCCAAACTTGGGAGCAATGCAAGCTTGCCTTTTTATCTAAGTTCTTCTCAAGCTCAAGGACTGCCAAGCTAAGGAACCAGATTTCAAACTTCACTCAGCATTCTAATGACACCTTTGGAGAAGCTTGGGACAGGTTTAGAATCTACACAAATCAGTGTCCACATCATGGCTTTTCAGAAGCCTCTCTCCTTAGCACTTTGTATAGAGGATCTGTTCCCAAGATCCCGAATCAGTTGGACACAGCATCAAATGGGAATTTATTGGCAAAAGAAATCACTGCAGCCATGGAACTTGTTGAGAACTTAGCCATGAGCCAAGACACCTATGGAGAAGACTTTGATAGAGCCAACAGATGTGAGGACTCTAGTACCCAACAAAGGTTGGAAGAGAAGATCAAAGAGCTGCATATCAAGCTTGACAAAGCCCTGGTTGCCTCTCAAAAGCCTATACACTATGTAGGTGAGTCTCAAGAGAGGTGTTGCTTTGAGAACATCAATGAAGTGGGCCTTACACAAGAGGAGCTGAACTACATAGGTAATCAGAACAAGTTTCAGGGTTACAATAACTTCAACAAGAACCAGAACTTGTCTTATAGAAGCACCAATGTAGCCAATCCCCAAGATCAAGTATACCCTCCCTAACAAGGTCAACAAAGCTTTGCTCAAAAGAATCAGTTCCAAGGTAACTTCCAAGGTCAACAAGCTTTTCAGTAGCCAACAGCTCAGACACAAGGGAACAGCCTCAATAACCAACTCAGCTTCCAGCAACAAAGGCCACCACCTCCTGGTTTTGCCCCACCACCTGTTCAACAAAGTCCTGATTTCAATTTTGTTCTCCAACAGCTCTTAATAGGACAACAAAAGATGGTATCCGACTTGGAGACACTAGGAGCTGAAATAATGGCTATTAAAAAGAACAAGGGCATCTGCACTTCTGAACCACAAGTCTCTCTTCCTGGTAAAGCTCTTCAAAACTCAAAGGATTACTGCAATGCCATCTACTGCAATGATGACCATTCAGCTGATGTGCAAGAAATAGAAGACCTTCTCTATGGTCAAGTCTCTAGTGAACCTGCACAAACTCATGTGGATGAGAATGTCATTATAGAGGATTTCATGGGCTTCTTACATGAACTCAATGAGGACATTGAGAATGAAAGTCTGGGGGCAGCCGGTTCAGTTTTTTCTGTTCAGCAAGGGAATGATTCAGTGTCTATTGAAACAAAGGAGCTGCCAACTGGTCAAGCAAAGCCAACAGATAGTGCCTCCACCTCTGAATCAACTCAGATGAAACCCACCTCCCTCCCAAAGCTAGGCAATCCAGGGAAATTCACTATATCTTGCACTCTTGGAAACTTTAGGGTTGAGAATGCTTTGTGTGATTCAGGCTCAAGTGTTAGTATAATGTCTAAGGACATGATGGAGAAGCTAAAGGTCAAGTCTATAACGTCCTACGCTTCTTCTATCACCTTTGGAGATTCCTACTCCAAGAATCCATTTGGGTTTTTGGAAAACTATCCACTACAGGTTGGTGAATGTATAGTTCCCACTGATTTTGTGATCATGAAGATAAAGAAGACCAAAGAGCTTCCCCTATTACTTGGAACTTCATTTCTCAACACCACTGGTGCAATGATTGACTTTGATACTCAAAGAGTGGTGCTTTCAAAGGTGGATAAGGATGTCTTTTCACCTGTTACACCTCCTTTGGCTGAATTTTGTGGCTCTGGTGTGAGGATAGCTCTGACTTTGGCAAATGGTCTTGATCTTCCATTGCCTTTAACCTTGTATTCAACAGCTCCACCAACAAACTTCCAAGGAGTGAGAGTTAAGACCTGAGAAGATGACTGAAGAGTGAATGGTCTGGTTCTTGGTGGGTTCTTGTCTTGAGACCCTGAGCCATTGCCTTTGTTGCTGCTGATCTCCTTCTCACTTGGTGTAGGAGATAGAGATTCCAAGCAAGCTTCATCATCACTAAAGAAATCCCCTTCAAACTCAAGATCAGGTCTTATTAGGGATTCTTTCTTTTTCTCAACAGATGCAAGGGGTATAGCTTCTTCTATAGTTCCAATACTCCCCACATACATCATCCCATAATGTTTCAACTCATCAGAATCATCAAATATAACTCCACAAAACCCAGCAAGAGGAGGCTTAAGAGGATAAGATACTTCATCATCTACCTTAGCAAGTACCACTTTTTGAGTATCAAAGTCCATCCTTGCCCCTGTGGTGTTCAGAAATGGAGTTCCAAGCAAAAGAGGTAGCTCTTTTGTCTTCTTCATCTTCATAACTACAAAATCTGTTGGAACTGTGCATTCACCAATTTTCAATGGGTAGTCTTCAAGGATTCCATATGGTTTCTTTGAGGATGAATCTCCAAAGGTGATTGACATGGGGTGATGCTTAAGACTCTTGATCCCTAGTCTCTCCACCATGTCTAAAGACATTACACTGATGCTTGATCCAGAATCACACAAAGCATTGTCCACTTTCAAATTTCCAAGAGAGCATGAGATGGAGAACTTTCCTGGGTTGCTTAGCTTGGGAATAGATTTGGGTTTCACCCTTGTTGAGCCAGTGCTAGAGACTCCATCAGATGTCCTTCCTTGAACCATTCTCTGATCCTTTCCTTCAGCAATCTCAGAATCATTCTTTTTCATATCAAAACAAGCTGTCTCCCCACCTTCTTTCTCAATGTCCTCATTGAGATCACAGAACAGGAAGTCAAACTCCTCTATGATGGCGTCCTCATCATCTTGTGTTAGGCACTTTGCACTTGAGACATTGCCATGGAGAAGATCCTCAATTTCTTGGACAGCAGCATGATTCTCATCATTTGAGAGGATGGCATTGCAGTATTCTGTTGGATGTGCTACTGATGTCCCTGGTAAAGATCTTTGAGCTTGAGAACTGCAGTGGCCCTTGTTGTTCTCTAGAGTCTTGACTTTGGAAGCCAAGGTTGAAAGCTGAGATAAAAGATCAGAATAACTGCAATCCACCTTGTTGTTAATCTCTGCCATTTTCTTGTTAAAGTCCATGGCACCACTTGCTTGACCTTGGAGGATTTGCTGGAGCAGGTTCTGCACTTCTTGATCCTTATTCTCTGAGTTCTGTTGGGGACTTTGTTGTTGGGGAGGGACAAAACCTTGTTGTTGAGTGTTTTGAGGATAGAAGTTCTGGTTTGGGGGATTCTTGTAGTAGGTAAAGCCCTTTTGGTAACCTTGTTGGCCACCTACAAAGTTCACCTCAGCTGTGATGTCTTCCTTTTGAAATGTGTCTTGAAACACATGATTCACATCTCTAACAAATTTGGCTGACTGATGAGAATCTAAGAGAAGTGTGTCTAGCTTCTCAGTGAGAGACTTGATGGCTTTCCTTGTCCTTTCCTCTTCAGCACTCACAGCCCCTCTTGAAGTCCTTTCAAAGTCTGATCCATAAAGCTCATCACTCTGAGCTACATTCTCCACTAGGGTCATGGCATCATTGACTTCCTTGGTCATGAAATTACCATTAGAAGCTGTGTCCAAGAGAAGTCTGACCTGTGGCAAAGTACCTCTGTAGAATGTACTTAGCAGCTGACAATCTGAGAATCCATGGTGAGGGCATTGCATGGTATACCCTCTAAATCTTTCCCAAGCCTCACAAAACGATTCATGGTTCTTCTGAATGAAACTTGAGATTTCATTTCGTAACCTTGCTGTTCTTGATGAAGAGAAGAACTTGGTTAGAAATGCTCTTTTGCATTGCTCCCAAGTTATGACTGATCCTTGAGGTAGAGACTTTTCCCACTGATGAGCTTTGTCTCCTAGAGAAAAAGGAAATAGCCTCAACTTGAAACTGTCCTCACTCACTCCATTCATCTTAGTTAGATCACAAACTCTATCAAAGTTGTCAATGTGATCTAATGGGTCTTCTAATGCCAAGCCATGGAACCTGTTTGATTGCACCATGTTGATCAGGCCAGATTTGATCTCAAAATCGTTTTCAGGTGTTGGGGCTTGAATCCCATGTCTTTGACCCTGAGCATTGGCCTCATCACCAGCTCCCACAACTTGTCTTGGACGTGGAGGTGGTGGCTCTTCCTGATTCTGGTGGTTTCCATTACCACCATGAGCCTGTTGCCCTTGATCCATACCCAACCTCTCAATGTGCTCAGCTCTTTCTCTTTGTCTCCTTGCTTGACTTCTGGTGTTCATACACCTGAAAACAAAGACAGCACTTGAAAGGTAATCAGTAAAACAAAAGAAAATGACTTGATCTCAAGAAGATCCAAAGTCCTAATGCTAGAATGAACTCTCCAATTGGCAACGGCGCCAAATTGATAGTAATCAAGCAATCAGCAAGCATAATGCATCAAGCCTAATAAGTGACCAAACAATCTCTCAACCAAGAAGACTGAATCTTATACAGAAAGACATAACAAGCAATCACATGATCTCAAACATTTCAACTTAGAACTCTAATCTAGATTAATCCTCTCATGAAGGCACTAACCTCTACACTAATCCATTTTCAAACCAAATCATCATTTGTGAAATATGAATCAATGAGCATTAAGAAACAGTTCTAATATGCCATTCATGCATTTAACAATCATTCCCATGACATTAATGCATAAACCCTTAGTTAGCTCTTTCAGGCATTTCATCAAACACTTTTGGTGCATGAAATGCCTATGAACCCAGATTTCACTTTCCCAAGGAAATCTGGCATTAGGATCAGCTAACTAAGGAAAGGAGAAAAGAATCTAAGCTTAAACAATCATTAATCTACATCTAAGCACCCTAATCTACACACCTAGAAGTTTAAAAGATGATTACTCACTAATCATGAAGAACACATCTAATCTTTTGCAAGAGATGATGTTAATCATGATTAGAAGCAGAAATGAGATGATGAGATGATGAGAAACAGACTTAGATTGATTAAATCCTTGAGATCTCTCTTAATCAAAAACGTTTTTACACTAAAAAGGAAAGAAAACTAGAGAGAAACTAAGAGAGAAGATAACATCCTCCTTGGGTTTTTCTCCCAAAAAACTATATATACCTAGTGCTAATGGACCGGGTCAGCCCAGGACAAACTGGGTACTGACCCGGCTCAGTTGGGTCAAGTGGAAATCCTGCGGGTCAGTCCAGTATGTCCCAGGTCGCACACCTAAGTCGCAGTAGATGAAGACTTGTCTTGTGAAGCCTGAATCGCCTTGTCTTAGCCGCACGCCTAAGTAGGAGTGTTTTGCGAGTGTTGCTGCGGCTTGGTCTCCTTCCTCTCCAACTCGCAGGGCTAAGGCGGTTTCTGGGGAATGTACAAACTGTGCGGGTTGGTCTCTATTGCACCTAGGTCGCAGGCTCAAGTCGGAGTGATTTGCGAGTGTTGCTGCGGCTTGGTCTCCTTCCTCTCCAACTCGCAGCATCCAGAGCAGCTTAGACCACTTCGCATTCCGGAGAGTGTAACTCCTATGAGACTTGTCCGAATTGAATGATTTCGGTTGCAGAAGACAGAGGACTCATTTATCTCCAACTTTGGTGAAGAAAGCTTCGGTGCTTGGGAAGTGTAAGGCTTCCTGGAGGGCACATCTTTGCAGTGCATGTACACGACCAGAGAGAGGCGTCTAGACATGTGTCCATTCCGGAGACTGTATCTTTCTGCTCATAGATCCGAATTGAATGCTCTTGGACGTTCTGGAAAGAAGACTCAAATGTCTATGGTTCTCATGAAGGACCCGGAAACTAAATCGGCCTGGAAGTGCACCGTCCTTCGCATCCTTTAGAACTGATCTGCTCGGTCCGGAATACCTGCGAGACTGGGGTTCCTTCCGACAAGCTTATCTCTCTGCTCACGCGTCCGAATTCCACGATTCTACTTGCTAAGAGACCGTGATGCAATGCTCTCCAAATTCTATGAAGCACCCGCCGTCTGAATCGGACCGGAAGGCTCCCCGGACAGGCGATCATTCAGGGGTATCGGATTGCTCCGGAACGAGTGCGAGACCTGTTCGTCTTCCGATTACCATATCTTTCAGTTCTGTGGTCCAAATGCCTTGATTCCAACTGTTATGAACTCTTGACTCAATTATCTCCAACCTTTATGAAGACTCCGATAGCTGAATCTGACCGGAAGGTTCCCTGGACGGGCGATTTCGGAAACGTGTCTGCACCCGGAGATTTTGGCCGAGAGACTTGACCGCGGTACGTGTTTTTGGCCGAGAAAGCTACCCGGGGGAAGGATTTTGGCCGAGAACCTTCGACCTTCAGTACACCATTTTGCCGAGAAACCCAAAATTGTTCCTTTTCACCATGTTTGATCATTCCAACTCCATTTCTTCATCTGAATCATATCCTCCACTCCAAATTGGCTCCAAAAGCACCTGTTTAACACTCCAAAACATGGAAAACTCTCTTGGACCTAATGAAATCTCCTAAGTCCTAAAACAATGCCTAAAGACCTAAAATGCATGAGATAAGACATGATTTGGACTAAAACATGTACACTAAATGATGCAATTTATGAATATATCACTCACCCCAGCTAAAGACAGGTTTTTCAAAGTCAAACTTAGTGACTTTAAACAAAGTGCTCTTGGGAGACACCTCAAGCTTATCCTTGTACATTCTTTTTTTTTTAATTTTTTCTCTTCTTTTTCATGTTTTAGGATATTTTGATGGGTTTTGTGAAGTGTTTTCAGGTCTAAGGTAACTTAGGGATGCTGTGGTCCAATGACAAAGTGAAAAGGAGTCTGAGAACAAGCTGAGGAAGGACTTAAGGAATGAAAACTGGTGAGCCGCCTGGTGTGCTACTTGGGTGTGCGAGTTGGACAAGGTCAGGTCCCATCTAGCACACCTGTTCGCAAATCACACCTACATGGGTGTGCTAGTCAGTTCTGCCCTGATCCAAGTAACACACCTGTTCGCAAATCACACCTACATGGGTGTGCTAGTCAGTTCTCCCCTTATCCAAGTAGCACACCTGTTCGCAAATCACACCTACATGGGTGTGCAGGTTGGTGTCTTCTAGGGACATGTAGCAGCAACAAAGAAGGCCAGAACTTTCAAGAAGCTTTATGTGCGACTTGGGTGTGCGAGTTGGTCCAAGACAAGTCCATGCCGCACAAGGGAGTTCTGTCCAAGCAAAACCCAACTCCAGTGATGTCTGGCCTCATCTGGTGCAGATACTGACTACCAATTTGCATAAGAACCACACCAGGTATCACTCCAAACACTTCTAAATGAGCATTTAACATTTTTCTTTATCTTTTGCATTTCATGTTTGATTTTTCCTCTTTCTCATGCTTTTATAACACAAGGGACTGTGTTATTTAAGTGTGGGGGAGAGGCTTTGTGTTTACTAATCATGTTTTCTATGTTCTTATTTTCTCTTTTGCCTTTTTGAGTCTCATTTGATCATGCATAGCATTTAGTGCATATAAAAAAAAAACCAAAAAAATTGAAATATTTGAAAATTTTAACACAAAAATGATCATGTAGTTGCATTTCACATTTTTAGGATTGAGTCTAGTTGCATCATATAGGTTGCATTGTGCATGGGAGTAATGATAGGTTTTTTTTTCTTGAGAGTACATCACTTTGAGAATTTGGATTAAATATGCTTGTGAAATGACTTCTGTCCTTGCAAGGCTTGAAATGATTTGCATTTGAGAAGCAAGTTTGAATTGAACTCAACTCTAATAAGTGAAAACCCTGAACTTGACTTGAAATTATAATTTGGTGCATTGTTTGAATAAGCTTTTGGATACCAATATACATATTTGAGCTAGAATCCTGTTTTTACCATCCTCTTCCTTAGCTCAAATAGCTGAATCTGCATAATAGATCAGTTTTCCTCACCCTGAACCCATCCTTCTTTCAAGCCAATTGTTTGTGTGATTGAGAGGCCACCTTGGACCAAACTTAGCAGAAAGTGTTAGGTTTAGGGCGACAAGGCCAAGTCTCATTGAGTGCTAAGTTCCATCATCAAGGAGCTGAGAGATTTGGCAAGAACTAAGTGTGGGGGAATACTTGTTGGTGAGTGGAAAAAGGAGAGATGAGTGGAAATAAAAGAGAATGGTGAGAAATAGGGGATAGAAAAAGAAAAGAAATCAGTCTTGGAGTTTTGAGTCAAAGAAAGTGAGCTCTAGTGTTTTGAAAAGAAAGAGTTTAGCCTCTAAGTGAAAAGAAAAGAAAAGAAGCCAAAGCTCAAATGTTTTAAAAAGAAATAAAAAGAGGTTAGAGGTTACAAAAGAAAGTGAAAAAGAGCTATGGAAAGTTTGAACTCCAAGACTTGTGTATGAAAAGGAAAAGTGAATCCCCTAGTGAGAGAAGAAGGAGTGTGAAAAGTAAGCAAGTGAGGAAACTTTGAGTAGAGTGTGGGGTGGGATGAGTCCTTGCCCTTGTATGCATAGGTTGCCTTTTACCTTTAGCATTCTGCCAAAGTTTGGTCATTCATAGAGAGATCCTTTTGCTGCATTGAACCCACTCAGGCATTGATGAGATCATTTTAGTCTCATAACCTCACCCTAGCCAAACACTGTTTGTTTAAACAATGCATCATTTGATCCACTTGGTAAAAAGCTTAATGAATGTTAAAGAGTTGAGGAATAGGAGAACTTGTGGAGATTACTGTTGAGTTGATACACTAAAGTATGGTTTTGCATTGCATATTGAGCATGAACTTGAATTCTCTTAGTGGTCACTTCTCTC